GAGCAGCTCTTCAATATGAGAAACTTGAAGGCTCACGCTGGTGAGCAGCTCTTCAATATGAGCCAATTATGGGCTCACATATGAATTGGCTCTTGCTCATGAGCCTGAGCTGCTCATGAGTGAGCAAATACGAACCCTGTTTTATTCTTAGCTTAATAAATATTTTAGTTTTAAAATTCAAATTAAAACGACATTTTGTTTTGTTCTGTTATTTTATTTATGCAAAATATTTCGAAAAGAGAACACAAAAAATTCAAAAAATTAAATAAAAAAATTTACATATTTTGTTTGGTTTACATTGAATGAATTTTGAAACATTTTACAATTTTTAATAATATTTTTGCAAAAAAAAATATGATTTTTTTATTACATATTTATTATGTTGAAATACATTTTAGCGTTTTACAATTATTGTTGCAATTACAATTGTCTTGAGTACATTTATATATATATATAATAATATTTTTTTTTTTTACTTTTAAATGCTAAACATAATTAATTTTTTTGCGTTTTTTTTTTAAATTTATTTTTACTTAAGTTAAATGAAAACATATTTGAAACAAAAAGAAATGCGAGTTTTGTAAAAATTTTTCTTTTTAATGATATTTTTTACGCAGGACGGGGTTTTCTCTCTTATATTTTCATTTTCATATCCATTATGTTTTTTTTTTCATTTTGTTGTTTTACTAATTTAAAAGTGTAAATATCAATTGTTGTTATTGTTTTTATATTTTTTTTTTATTAAAATGAATAAATGAAAATATATTTAAGCTTTTACTAGTACAATTTTTATTTTGGTATTTTTTTTTTAAATTTTTTCTTTATGTTCTGCTTATAATTATTATTCTGACTTAATTGTTTATATATTTATATATATGTTTTATTATTTAATATTTATTTTTTTGCTTATAATCTTTTGTGAAAAGTTTTGTTTGCAAATACATTTATTACGCTAGGTTTCTTGATCTTTTTTGTGTTTTTGTTTTAAATTTTTAAAATTGTTCAAAATTTGCATTATTACTTAAATTTTATTTAATTAATTGCTGTGATTACACTCAGAAGAATTTTTTTTTCAAAGATTGTTTTTAAAAATATAAACATAAAAAATAAATTATTACATATAATATATAATTTTTCTTCAAAAGTTGAATAAAAATTTATTTCAAATCAAGCCTCAATAACATTTTCATAGATATAGCAGAATATATCTCATAGGTCGTAGTAGTGTGTCATTTCAATAGTAATAAAAGATTTTCGTTAGATCCAAAAGTTTTAAATAGACACGAATATATGAAAATATTTTGTATCTCTTCAAGGATTGTTAATCAATATATGTTTTGAACTTTATGACATGTTATTGAATCTAATACATATTACATTTGATTTCAAAATCAATTCTTGCATAGTATCTAGTTACACATAAGCTATATAATATTCTCGTGGTAAAGTGAAACCAGGACATTGCATTAGCAGTTACTTAACCATATAGATTGTGCGAAAATTCATAAGCTTTGAATGCATTATGAAATCAATTTGATAAAGAAACGTTAGTCAATGTTTCCAGGTTCATAGTAAGTGCAACATACTGAAATCCCAATTTCAACCTTAGTGATCTATGACATTACCAATGCATCATATATACTACTGTACTATACTATATGATATGTTGTGTTCTGTAACAGTTAACAGGCTTAACGAATATAATAAGTAACTACTGCACTGTCGATTTTAGTACTACACTTTCTATATTGTATACGTAATAAAACGTAAGTACAGTAGTGTTATAGAAAATGCTACTAAATAAGTCAATGTACGGACTCTGTTATTCCACAATTTATTGACAGCCAACTTAAACTTATATCTTTATAAGGACAACAATATGGCTACTTTTGCAGTCAAAAGGGTGATAGAAAAAAAATAGTTTAAGAAGAAGAGAGTATTACGAGAAAGAAAGAATATTATGAGAGGGAAATTATAGTATAAGAGAGAGAATAGTATGAGAAAGAAACAATAATTTGAGAGAGAAAACATAGTCAGAGAGAAAGAATAATGTCAGAGCGAAAGAATAATTTTCGAGATAGAAAATACAAAGAGCGTAAGATGGAAGCAATGAAAGACACATTGAGATGGGAAAAAGTGAAATAGAGAGTAAGATAGAAAAACTTAAATAGAGAATGAGTAGATTGAGCGAGAATGTGGTAGAGATTGGGGTAATCAGAAAAAAAAATATATAAATTTTTATTTCTTAATTAATATATTTAAAATATTTTAAATTTTATTTGTTAATTTCTGTTAGGTTTTGAAAGCAAACTGTTGAGCGAATTTAGTGTAAAGGGCAGCGCCGATTAAATTGAGTTCCAGATCTATTATGTATACAATATAATAAAATGTTTTCTTTTTCGAATGTTTCTTTGAAGAGAAATAATTTTACAATATGTAATAATTTAAATTTTTATTTTATATAGTAGTTCTATTAAATAATACTTATGTTTATATAAACGCTTGCCATTTTGAAAGTCAATTTATTTACTTCATAATTTAAGTTTTCACAAATTTATGTACAAATTATTAGAGTAGATGTTTCAATAATATTTTTATGACTTCAATGGAATTAAATGGACACATGTCCAAGTTTTAATTAATTGAAATAAATACCATATAAATTATAATAAATAAAATAAATTAATATACATAATTTTATTTATTATTTAAATATTTAAAAAAAAAGAGAAAAAAAAGAGAGTTATCTTTTAAATGACTTTCAAAGCTTTGCTAATCTATAAAATGTATGAAAGTTAGGTTAATCGCAAATTTAATCAAATTTTTACATACACAAATTTGAGAAATATGTTTTCTTAAAAATTGCTACCAATATTTATCGGGGCATGACACTTAATACAGATCTTAACACAAATAATTAAGATACCTACATATATGTATATATATTTTTTTAATGTTTACATGAACTTTTTTCTGAGTGTCTTAAAATTATTTAATTTTGAAAATGTTTATATATATCTTTCTTTTTCTTGGTAGATATAATAAAAAGTTTTAAACAATAAATTATTTAATAAACAATGACTAGCAGAATTTTTTTTTTTTTGATTACTTAAAGTTACATTTAATTTTTTAATTGTTCAATTGTTTTATTTATTTTTAGCTTAAAAAGCAAATAGAATATAAGTTTTTCAATATTATATTTTTTTAATTAGTTGCTATTATGTATTTAAATAAATTAAACATAGACGTTGTCACAGCAATTTGTAGTTGGGAGTATAGCGTAGAATAGCGGGGAGAAAGTTGATAAAGCAATCGAATGAAAGCTTATCAAATGAAAAAAAAATTAGATAATTTTATGAAAATAGTTTAAAAAAAAGATTCTCAAAAGTGTTTTCATTTATTTAATTTAATTTATTTTTATTTTGCTAATTAAATATAATAATGGCATAAAATATACAATTTATATCAACTACAATACACACTGATAATAAAATTCAATTAACTTTAAATTAAATATTTATAAAACAATTGAGTATCAAAGCAAATTGGACATAAATTAATTAAATTATTTATATATATATATATAATATTTACTTAAATTTATTAATTAATAAAATAAATTCGAAAATGATATGATTTAAATTATAAAAGAATTCATTATTAACAAACTTATGTAAATATACACAGCGTAAGGAGCAGGGAGTTTGGTGGGGAGCTATATTAGAATATTAGTTACACTTTAAAAAATAATTTAAATATAAAAACAATTTTAACTAAAAAAAAATTATTGTAAAGTGCTTCTATATAAAGTTTTTATTAACTGTATTTGTATATATATAAATATATAAATAAGTGTACCATTTAGCATCTGTATAATGTATGTATATATCATTTTACTTATATATATTATATATATATGTCATACTAAAGCAGCAGATTTTACTATAATATTTATATAATCAGTTTTGAATTACATTTTCGGGCTTATAATAATTTAATTTGTATTTAATTTGTAATTAATTTGTAGCAATTACAGACAGAATTTCAAAGACGAGAGCTCATTTATTTATGCGTATAATTTTCTATTTATTCATATTTTTTTATTTAATGTATAGTAAATTTTTTCTTTATATATATTTTCGTTTAATCATATATAAGTGTTTTTGTATATATATATAAATGTTGTGTATATATACCATTCATTTTTAGCTTTATAAATAAATACTTTTTAGCTTAAATTAGCAAATGAGAATATTTCTTCTTTTATTTACTGAGTGAGAATTTATTTTCAATTACTTTGCTTAAAGTCGTCCTTATATACTGTGTATATATATACATATATATATATATATATATATGTATAAATATTTATATTTATAAATGTGTTGAATTATACAAATAACATATATATTTATACATATATATATACATATATAAATATATATTTTAACAGCAAGCAACTGTTTCATTTCATGTTATTTATTTATTTATAGGAAAATGTTGCATTTTTATGAAACTTTTATTTAAATTTAATTTTATTTCCGTTTGACTTTTAAATTAATTTTATTTATTTGTTATTTTTCTTGCATTTTTAATGTAAAATTTTTTTTCCACGTTTAGCTTAAAATTAAGTTTATATATTTTTTGTTTTTTTTTTATTAAATTTAATTTTAATTTTTTTATTTTTAATATCATTATTACACATAAATTTAATACTTTCTAAACAAGAACAACAAAGTATGAAAGAAAAATTTTTGTTTTTATTTTATTTTTGTTTTAATATTTTGAAATCTTAAATTTTACCGCTCTAAATATTTTCAATTTTCTTAATTTTTCTTGCTGATTTCTGTTTCTTTTCTTCTTAATTTTAATGCAATTTATATTTTTTGCTCTTTTCTAAATCAAATTTTCTTGCTGTTTTCATTTTAAGTTTTCTTATTGTTGTTAATATATATATATAAATATTTATATATATATGTTTTTTAATTGCTTAGCATTTTTATATATTAAATTATTTGTTAAATATTTTTTGGTTTATTTTGGTTTATATCTTTTACTTTTGGAACTCCGCTCCTGTAAAAAGGATCTTTGTGTTGCATATATATTTGGTTTTGTTAAGATTGATTTGAAGTTTAGATTAGAGTTTTTTTGTTTTGAAATATTTTACTTATATTTGTTCTTTACTCCTTTACTTCAAAATATTTGTAGGTTGGATTCTCGTATCCATTGATTTGCATATTCGCTACAATTTTTTCCTCTGGTACAACAGGATGATGTGTTGTTGCATTCTAAACAGAAATATAAAAAAAATTTATTAATAAAAAGAATTATGCAAAATGTTTACAATTAAAATGTACTAACATACTTCTAAAACTATTTATTAAAACTCTAGATAATCAATTTGACACCATTTTAGTACTGTAGATGATTTTGTATAAGGAATACTTAATTAACATATCGACGAAGCTTAATATTTCTTCAATTTGGGTTTCCGGTCATAAGGATATTTTTGGCAATCGCAAAGCACACGAGTGGTGCTTCAGAAACAATCTGGGCACATCGTTGACATCGTGCAAACTTTCACTAAGTTTTTCCTGACCTGATGAGAAGACTCATCTGGGAAAAGATGGGAAGACTCAACGATATGCAAGCATCTGTATACAATTTGAACATGTTCCACTAAAAGAAATTCCAATTCTCATTGAGATGCCCCGTAGATATGTCAGTTTTGTGGTAGGTTTAGTGGCAGGTAAGAAGGTTGCTAGAAGATTGAATCTTCCTTTTATACCTGCTGCAGTAGTGTTGTGAACGATGGAAGTATTTCTATCTATCCGACAAATGCGCGGCGCCGCCTTACCACTTTAGGGAATCTTTTTTTTTTGGGGAATTTGGTCAACTACAAGATCTTCCCTTAAATAGCGTTATAAGTTTTGCCAAAGGTTCAAAGAGATTCTAAATCTCTTGAATTTTTATAAACAGTAACACAATGGGCAATAAACGGTAACATTAATTCCAAAAAATTGCTTTCGTCCTAGCTTGGAAATGTATATTATGAAATAGTTGGCTACTTTTATTTCATTTGACCAAACTGTAATTAGTTAGCTTATTATTATTTATAAGTTAGTTTATTATAATTTATAAGTTAATATAGTCTCATTCAAATTATTAATCTCGACTCTTATAGACGAATTATTAGTATTAGTAAGGGCAATGAGATATTTTGTAGTACAGAGTGTCTGCTAATATAACTCAGATTCATTAAGGCTATTGATTCACTTAATTCTAACTTTACGATATTAAACTCATTCCACGAAACATTTCTTTTTTCTTATTTTGTGTAAAGTACAAACTTCTTTGTTTAGTGTCTGAAAATTATATACATATATTTCTCCTGACCTAGAGACTATGCAACCCCGTTTACAATCAATATAAAATACTTATCGATGGTTGCAAAGAATACATCACTAAATATATTCGTAAATATCAAGAAGCTCATTAAGTTGAGACAAATTGATCTCCAGAAACATTAATTACATTTTCTTGCAATTGCAGTTTAATCGTACTAGGTTTCAAACTGCATTATTAAAACTTAAACGTCCTATGTTTTAAACTATTTAAGAAAAAGTCATTAAAAGATCGCTAATACAAATCTAGGTACTAAATGAAAACACACAGAAAAAGATGGTTTCAAAAAAAAACTATCTATGTGCGTAGTAGAGTAGTACTGGTATGAGAGTCAGGACTACTCATACTGCGATTTTAACTATAGGATATCTTCTTATTTGTATAAGTTATTTGTCATATAACTAAATTTTCCTGACATAAATTTTGAGAAACTAAGTATTTAGTGATTCAAAGAAGATGATTTTCATTATGAACTTAAGATACAGATAGGATATGACCAAATGCTTGCTTACTATACGAAAACTTTGAGTAAGAACATACCAAATAATGCTAAATTTTCAGTTTATATATTAAGCAATTATGTTATCATATCAGTTTATAAAATATTATCATGTAATATTTGATATTTTCGACTAACCTGATCAACTTCAATGAATCCTTGCGCATGTGGCGAACGTGATGTTCTCCATTTGGCAACAGCGACACCAACAAAGATGGCTGCCATTAAAGCAATACCAGCAAAGGACAATGTGAAGTACACATTACGTCCCTCTTTGGTCGCGTGCGTATGTGTGAATTCTCTACGTAAAGAAAAACTCTGAAAGGAAAAAGGATAGACTTTAGGTAAATACGGCATCAGCGACCTAATCTGAAATACCGATTCACGATGTCCCAAATCGTGTGTCATGAAATGTTGCACTTGTGGTTCGGTCTCTTGGTGTGCAACAGCAGCGGCAACCTCCTCTACGGCACGTTGCACAGCATCATCATCAACTGTTGGTAGGACGGTTTGGGTTTTAGTGCTAAAAGAAGAGATAAAAAATAAAATAATATTAAAAACAAATTTTATATGAAAATCGGTTGGAATATTTATGAAAATAAATAGTTTAAAACCCAAACCTGACAGTAGCCTCAGCATACTCCTCGCCACCAGTGTTATCCTTTTCGCTTTGTGCCAATTTTGTGGCATCATTTGCTGCTGTTATAAAAGTGCTACTAATTTCCTTACTAGGCATAGCATCAGCTGAACCTTCTTGTGCGCTCTGTGTCTTTAGCATTTCATCAACTTTCTTTGCCTCCATGCGTAATTTCTCCTCACGTAACTTTTCACGCTCAGCGGCCCGTTGTTCCTTGCGTTGCTTTTCGGCTAAACGTATACGTTCCTTTTCAGCTACTTTGCGTTCAATTTCCACACGATATTTATCCAAAATTGCTGCTTCAGCCTCTTCACTCATGCCCAAAGATGAACCGGGTATATCATCCTTGCTGCGTAGAGCCAAAATGTAATCATTCATTAGTTGTGAAATTTTCGCTGACAAATCAGGATAACGTTTAAGCATTGTCATGGATTGATTAACAGCACGATCAATATCAATTAAGCGTTCCAAGGTACGTGGTCGTTCGGAGGCAGCTGCTTCTAAACCGCCTGGACCACCAGAGTTTAAGAGGTGACGGTAATGTGCCAAGGCATGTGCACGATCTTTGTGTAGTGCGCGCAATAACTTTTGCAAACATTTTTCAACATGATGAGCCTATGAAGAAATGCATACATTATGAAGGAATCATAAGAGTATAGGGCGTAGGGGGTAGGGGGAAAACGACTTACATTTGGTGGTTGTTCAGTTAGAGCTTGAGTGTAGCAGGTCATTGCTTCACGTTTGCGTTGGTTAATGTGTGCCAAGACACGTTGCTGATGCATAGCAGCCAGTTGATGTTTCTCAGCGTTGCCTTCTTCTTCGAGTGCCTGAACAGAAGTCTAAAATTATATTCCCATATAAAGACGCATTGCACATCAAGAGAGAAAGAATATCAGAAAGAAGTAACTACTTTTTTGTTTGTTTACTAGTTTAATTCGTTTGCCTTTTACAGTTGTGAATATATATATCCGAACTTGAAGTTGGGGAAGTTTATTTAAAAATTGCATTATAGAAGTTGGAATTGGTGAGTGGTGTGCTTTGAGTATGAAGTGTGCACTCTAGATTTAACTTTTTTACAATTTTTTTCATAAAACTTCTTAAAATCGGGGGTTATGAAGTTCTATGAGTTAAAGTTGTGCATTATGAACATAATGACTAATGATTTTCAGAGGAAATTGTGCAATTTCTTATAGTTTGATAAATTTAATAAAAAATTTTAAAATACTAAAAGAAATTAGTGAAAGCTTTATAAAAATATGTAAGAAAGTTGCTTTCTTTTTGAATTTATTGTTTTTAAGTATTTAAAGTATATGTATAATATGTAGGGCTATTCATTTATTTTGAGAACCACAAAACGATTAATCCTATATAATATAAGTTTTTTTTATTTTAACTATAGAATTTTGAAATGAAACTGCAAATGTTCAGTTAAAAACATTTTTTATTTCTTATTGTCCAGTAAATTTTGCAACTCATTTTGAAATAAACCTTACCTGATTATTAAAATATTAAGATTCAATACATCGAACTACTAAATCTAAACTCCAAAATTTCTAATCAAGAAATATAATAAATATTATAATTGCAAGACAAAATTTGTTATTAAAAATATGGTTTAAGGTTTACCTATCACCTAGGACCTGATCTGAGTTTATAAACCTCATTAATAATTAATTTATTCGATTTTGCATTCTCTTACTAATGTTCTCTGTACTACTTTGCTATTTTAAGTTTTGACAGTATATCTCTTATTGTGCTATAATAATTTTAGATCACATGAATTCATGTATTTGCATCGCTAACACAACATTTTTATCTCCCAGGGTCAAATCATAGTCTTAAACAAATAAATAAAATCTGTAAGATTTCTTAGTTAACAGTAGTATAATATCTGTGTGATATTGCGTGGGAGGACTGTATGGTAACTCATTGGTCAACTAATAAACTTGACCAGCAGAATGAGAACGTAAAATATATAGAACACGTAGCTATGATATTGGGGTTGCTAAAACATCTGAAATGAAGATGATAAGATTCTATTTACGTTTATGGTAGTTACGTTATTACAATCTTTTAGTAGGACAATTTGTTTACATGTTCCAAAAGGCACATGGTTTCACAGATATTAACAAAAAAATATATGTGAGACTATATAAGACGGTAGAATTGTTACGCTTGTACGAATACAGTGAATTGCCGAATGTCATCTTCTTTGATGAGAAGAATTTTCCGATTGAATAATTCATAAAAAAAAAAACAAAATTTTGATAAAACATCGTTTGTGATAGTTTGGGCGAATATTGGGCGCATTCTGTTTTCAAACATTAGCATCAAGGTTAAATGGAATATCCACCATAAAAAATTTTTTCAACAAGATTCTAAAAAATCGCACATAACACGTAATCAACAATGGTGCATATTTCGGTGATCTTTTCGGTCATCAGATGCCAATCCGCTCGACCTCTTGGTATTCTTGGCATTTTTAGGTCTGACCTGCGGCACTAAAAACTATTGGAGTGTTAATGTGCTCAGAAAAGTGCTTTATTGTAAACGGATAAATATTTTTAAGGTTTATATTCTGTGAACGGATCTTAAACTATAGTTCCTGTTAAACATAGTCATAGTTAATGAGTTTTAAATTCAAATAAAACTGCAGCGATCTGCTAAGTTGTAGTTTAATTGGGTTACCCTGTAATATTGCTTAGGTTTCTGTGATCTTGGTTTGGCCTTGTTAAACATAATTAGATTAGCATAGTATATCGACAACACTACTACGACGAAATCATTTAATAAAGAATAAATAAATCTAGTTAATTTTATGAAATTTGTCTTTTATTAAAACACATTTTTTTTAAATATTTTCCCATTATTAATAATTGGGTAAAATTATTAAGGACCAGCACATAGCTAGGGGAAGAGGGATTACCACCTAAAGCTTCTCTGAAATGAAGTTAAGATTTACTATGAATACACAACTGAGTTAATTTCTGGCTACTGAATGGATTAAAAAGTTTTTGTTTATATCTCCTTTTAAGCCGCTAAAGAGTTTATGGAGTAAACACTAATTCTAAAAGAGATCAGACCTCTTTTAGAAAACTTATACATCACAGTTTTAAAATTATTAAATACACATACGATTTCTACTTAAGTTTGAAATTTATAATGCTTAATATGATTCTTCTGAACTGAAATCTGTATTCTTTATATCTTTTTAGCTTTATATTCTCGTGTGCTCTAACGAACATTTTTAAATTTTTTTCGAGACACCTCCAGCTCAAAAAGTACCCAGATTTTGTAAATTAAACACAAAAATTTAAATTTTATTCCAAATTTATTTTATCTCCTTCAAAATATGCTCCTTCTGAAGCGATACACATATGTCAACGGCTAACCCAATTTTCCATACACTTTTCGTAGGCCCGTGCTGGTATGGCTTTTAGTTCCTTCGGCGAATTCTCTTTTACCGATTCAATCGACTCAAAACGCTTACCACGAAGGGGCAATTTGAGTTTCGGGAACAGGAAAAAATCGCACGGCGCCTGATCCGGGTACTTTTTGAGCAGAAGGTACAACTACATACGTCTGTATATACAGGATGCTGTATACAGGACCTCTTTATATATGATCTGTATATATATGATCTGTATATGTAAGATCTGTATATATACGATCTGTATATATAAGATCAGTATGTATAGGATCTGTATATATAGGATGTTATGTACATCCTATATCCAACATATGTATATTTTATTCTGTTTATAGCAGCCTGCTTTTTTTTAAATTTTTACATTATTTATTGCGTTCTCTAACTCCTTCTAAGTTCTATACTGGACGCTAATATCTAATGACACTAATTATACCCTACAGTTTTTCTCTTTACTTCAACGGTTCTTCAAAAGATACTTTAACTCTTATTAAATTTCAAAAAGAACTGAAAAAAATATCTGCAAGCAAATTATTTTGCAGGCATATTAAATTGCAACTACACTCGTACTTCCGCTATTTGCACATTATTCTTGAACTTTGGAGAGGAACATGAGGAACGTGTTCCTTGATATCTGTTAAGGCAATAGATATACTAAATTCATGCTACTTATTGTTAGCCTAGTAATGACAAAAAGCTAAAAGTACATTAAGCCAATTAATTTAACTACAAGCTTCGTATCTGATCCCTCTTTCGCTCCCATTTGCACTACAAAAGTACATACATACATACATACATAGAGTATGAAAATGATATGGAACAGAAAAAGGCAAAAAAGCAAAAAAAAACATTAAAAATTTAATTACAGGAAAAGAAAAAAGAAAAAACACTGTAAAAAATTATAATAGCAGCAAGCATTTTACAAAGTAAATAAGGGAAAAGGAAATTAAGCTGTGAAAGTGTGCAATGGAATTGTTAATACTTAAAAAGTGAGAACAGGAGGAGCACAACAAAAAAAACAGGAGGGAAAAGGAAGAATGAAAAAAGGAATAAAGCCAAATATTGAAAATAAAAATTACATTACGAGTTTAAAAGCTTTTATGTTAACATAACAATAACAGTTATGGTAATATAATGAAAACAAGCAACAACAACTACATGAACAATAACAGCAATAGTAACAGTAAATAAGAGTAACAGGAGCAATAACAACAAACAATGCTATGCTGCACCTGCACCAAGCGAAAATGTGCATAGCGATGATACGAACCTGGAATCGTGCTGTCATACGTTGCTTGAAACTTTGTGCTGCTTTTGGATCGGCCATACGCATATCCTGGTATTTCTCTTCCAAATCAGACCAGTCCTTCATGACACGGGTGACCTTCTCGCGATGTGACTCCTCGAGGCGCTGTTGGGCTTCCTTTTTTTAGAATATGTTTGCTTTGTAAATATGTATGAGAAAGTTGAACACTTACTTTTTGACTTACTTTGTAGCTCTGATGCTCATAGTGCGGATCGAAATGTGTAAAGTATGGATCGACAGTGGGCTGATTGGTTGACGGTGGCATAGCTGGTGCAGCAGACATAGATAAATCACTTGCTGCAACCGAACCTTTGCCTTGTGTCGTCTCAATATTGCCCGATTTCAATTTTCCATCATCGCCATTATTATTAATTTTATCTGCTGTTGTTGCTACTGGTTTTGCACCACTTGAGCTACCATTCTGATCCCAATTATCACCAGTCTGTTCATCATCATTCTCTTCATAGTTTTCCACATCTTCGCCCGAATCGTACTCAGCGTTAACATCATCAGCTGTGGCATCGCTACTAGTTTCGCCAGCTGCTAATAAACGAAAATAACAATCAAATAAAAACAAAAATGAAAAAAAACACATTTTAATTACTATCCTCTGTATTTGTGGACAATTTAAATTTATGGTTATATGTGTTTTGGTGTGAGAATATGTATATGCAACAAACAATTGTAATGCATGCAACTAACCATCAATCATTTCATCCTCTTCATCATCACTCAAGAGGTCGTCATCATCGTCGATGTCATCATCAGCAGGTTCGGTCTCCTCCTCAGGCAAATTGCTTATTTCAGCGGGCATCACGACAGGTAAATCGGTTTTCTTGACACGTATCTCGTCGGCTGCACAAGTGTTGGAAAAACGAAAAACGAAAAAGGGAAAAGGAAGAAGAGTGGTGAAATACATAGTAAGTGTGAAATTAATTTTTAATTGGCACAAAAGATGCTAATGGGCAACAATGGCAGCGAGAGTGAATGCCGTATTGACTGCAGTTTGAAAGGCACTGACCAAATTGGAATTTTTACGTTTTCACGAAATTCAATTATCGAATTGCACAGGAAATCGACAATTCAAAATTGTTTTTTATAGTTTTTTGTATTTTTTTTTTTACTTTTGAATTTCATTGTTTTAAGTTTTCATTTTCCATTATCCGTTTTCCATTTCAAATTGTTGGTTTATTGTTGTTATTTTTGTTGTTGCTGTTGTTGTGCAAAGTGTTTTGCATACTTTAACAAAATAAATGAATTTCATGTTCGAAGCAATTGTTTTGCATTTTGTATTTTATTACAGAAAAATCTACTCAGATTGACTTTTTTTGGATTTTTTTTATATTTTTTTTTATATTTTTTTTTTTGAAATTTTATTTCATTTTAAACTTTAATCGAAATTAAAGTCATGAAACATTTAAATGTGTAATTTTTTATGCAAACAAAAGTTTAGCAACTTTAGTTAAGTTTGTAAAGTTTTTAAATCAATCAATGTTATCACACAAAATGTTTTAGTAATAGAAAATAGTGATATATGTGCGTATATATATATATATATATAGTTGTCTGCAGTCATCGATTTTGTTGGCAGATTTGTATTTAAATTAAAATTTAAAATTTTTTGGCTGGATTTAAAATTTTTCTAAGATCAACCACATAACCACAAACCGCAAACATAAATTGACGATGATTGTTTGTGTTTGGCTTCTGAAATTTAATTAAATTAAATTTTAATTTTTGTATAAATAGAAAATATAAAATAAGAAGATTTTTTAAAATATGAATTTTGGACTAAGAGCCATGTCGAACAGAGAGTCATAATAATATAATTAAATAATAAAATAATAACAAATAATATAAATAATTATAATTGTCGTTTTCTTCCTATCTTTAATACTATTTCGATACGTTTGTGTTTAAATTTAAAACATTAATTTTTATAAAGTACCAACCTTCAAAAGACTATGTGTAAAATTTCATGACATTTCGATTAGTTAGAAAAAAGTGACAGCCATTTAAGTGAAGCTACTTTTGTTATTCTCAAAACAAGAGATTCAAAACAATTTCGTGTGTTAATTTATCATTACTTCTTGATGAAAAAAAATACTGTACAAGCTCAGGAATGGTTTCAAAAGTGTTATCCGAACTCTGCTCCATCGAAAAGAACCATTTGTTATTGTTATTGTTGAATTTAAACGTGGTCGTACAGACACCGATGTTGGTGAACGTTTTGGTCGTCCAATTGAGGTGGTTACTCCAGGAAACATCAAAAAAGTTCAGAAATTGGTTATATCTAATTGTAAATTTAAATTGCATGAGATAGCTGAGACCGTAAAGATATCAAAAGGCAGTGTGTTTACAATTATGCATGAACATTTGACGATGAGAAAGCTCTTTTCAAAGTGGGTGCTGCATTTACTCACAGTCGATAAAAAACAACAACGTGTTGATGATTCAAGACCAGTGTTTGGCCATGGATCCATCACTTCACTCCGGAATCAAAACGATTCTCATCTTAGTGGACTGCAGCCGGTGAACCAAGTCCGAAGCGTCAAAAGACACAACAGTCAGCTGGGAATGTTATGGCTTCAGTATTTTGGGATGCACATGGTATAATCTTCATTGACTATCTCGAAAATGGAAAAACAATCAATAGTAAGTACTACACGGCATTACTGGATCGTTTGAAAGCAGAAATTGTGAAAAAACGACCGCATATGGCGAAGAAAAAAATTTTGTTTCACCAAGACAATGCACCATATCACAAGTCAATAAAAACAATGGCAAAATTGCACGAATTACACTTTGAATTGCTTCCTCATACACCGTATAGTCCAGATCTGGGCCGAGCGACTACTGGCTATTAGCTGATCTCAAAAATATACTCGCCGGTGAGAAATTCATCTCAAATGAAGAAGTAATTGCTGCAACTGAAGCCTATTTTGAGGTAAAAGACAAATGATTTTATAAGCACGGCATCTAGAAGTTAGAGAAGCATTAGAATAATTGTATTGCCCTTGAAGGAGATTATATTGATGAGTAAAATCGATTTTTGATGAGTAAAATCGAAAAAATTTGTTTTTCTTAGTTAGTCACACGTCTTATTGACTGATGTGTTATATATTTACTTCTAATGGGAGGAAATTCCGATGTTTATGACTTTCCTTTTGATCAATTTTAAATCGAAATTTATCTTTTTTCTTATTTTCAATTTTTTACGTTACATTAAAAATAACTACAAAATCAAATTATTCGTGACCATTGACTCTCTAATATCCTTAAGGCCTGTGTTATATAAAGTGTTACGGGCACGTCAAAATTGGCTCTTTCGGGCTATGACGAAAAATCATGTTATGTAGACTGTCATATCAGTTTGTTAATTTCGTATTTTTACTATTACTTTTGTACTTTTTGATTGTGCCTGAATTTTAAAGAAAACATATACATATAACATGGCTTTGACTATGGTAAGTAACGAGGCACAGATAGCATCGGTTTTCATGACCGAATTTAAGCCGACATTTGTTTTTTTTCTCTCACTCTCAGTTTTTTAATTTACATCGAAAACAACAACGGTTTTGATTTTGATGTGCTCGTGACACTTTACATAACATGGGCTTTAGCGTACGAAATTATAAAATGCATACTTAATTTTAATAATTCTCTCATTAAGATTTTCACTTAATTCGAGCTTCTCTTAAAATGAAGCACATTTTTTAGGTTCGTTTAAGATCAATCTAAATGAAAAGTATTGTAAGTTATGGTTATTCATTATGTGTCCCTGATTTGTCAGCATTGTTTCAGTGGTATATGTCAAAGAAAACTGTCATATATTTTATTTCTAATTCATATATATGTATTTAGTTTGAGGTGTGCTAAAACATTATAATTTGTATGATGATTTTTCGCATCGATTACTTATTAGATTTTTAGATCAAATATTTAAAAATAATATTATAATCTTATATATAAGTAACTTAAAGTTGTGTTTATTTTAAATTATAATTAAACATTAATTTTATGAAAAATATTGACTTTTTTTTTTGCTATTTTTTGCTATTAAAACAATTATATATAGGTAAATTAGAATGTAAGTTTTTTATTTGCAGATATCTGAAACGTGGTTTAAATGATTTTGAAATTGCTAAAAGAAGGAGCATTATGAATAAAAAAAGAGAAATAGAACCTGTAAGTGGAAGTAATTATTATTACGTTGTGTGAATTTGTGTAGTTATTAAGGTTAGGTTAGGTTGAGAAGGCGCGTGCTGGCAGTTATCGGCACTTCCACTCGGAGGCATATATTGCCCATTGTATTGCCCTTAATCTGCTATTCTTGTTAAATCATTTGGTTTTCCAGATAAAGTTGAGAAGATCTGATAAGTTTACTTTCGTTATCTTTTCCAGGCCTGTGAGAAAGCAATCCTCAAGATATTGAAGTCGCCTTGTTTGCAGTCTTGGACAGAGACAGAGAAAGTGGTTAATGGATTCTACCTCCTCCTCATTTTGACAACTCCTGCATAATCTACTTGTTAGAACTTGCCACCGTAGAAGCATAGGCGCAATAGTACAGTGCCTCGTTAGTACTTTAGTAAGTACAGAACCTGCAGGTTTGCTGAAGAAAAGCGAATGGTTTTCGCTTTATTTTTGTCCAAACTAGGCCATAAGTTTCTAGCGAACTTACAGTCTTCGCGGTTAGTCCATAAATCGTTAGTCACCTTATTGGTGATTCCCTCTATGATCCTAAAAAGTTTGCATGTCGATGTTTGTACTTAGAGGTACATCTCATCTCATCGCTAATTTATTCCCTCCAATATCGCAATGTCCAGGAACCCAGCAAAGAGATAACTTTTAATATATTTTTTTAAAATATTAGATTTAGTACTGACATACTCGAAATTTAGAATATTTTATAATTATGTAAAAACAATTTTTTTTTCACAAATTTTATTATAAATTAAATTATTATTTTTAAACATAAAATAATCATGGCTGAAGCAAATCAGTAAAGAAGAGAAGGAGTTAGATACAGTGGAAGAGTTTGAAAAAGAATGTCCATTTGCACGTCAGGACAGTTACAGACGGTTCGGAAATAATTGTGATTGTATAAAAAGACCAATTGAGGATACCTTATCTAAACCATTGGTCACTGGTACAACCAAATCTCTTAAGTATGATGTTGTTTGTTAAAACAATTTAACAAATAAAATTAAAAAAATATTTATTTTAGTCAATCTATTGAAGAAAAGCAACAAAAACAAGAGAGACATGCAATTTATGAGTGTTGGGGTGTTGATGGTATTATTCCACGTCCATGCATTTCAAACACCGACCAAAAACAAGAGGAACATGAAGATTTAGAGCGTTGTGGTGTAGTTGATATTCCTATTCCAAGTGCATGCACTTCAAGCACCGAGCAAAAAAATGTCGAAGCTGCTCCATGCACTTCAAGCACCGAGCAAAAAAATGTCGAAGCTGCTGGTTCGCCAATTATTGCAGATGATCACAGTTGTGATGAAAACTGTAATTTTTCTCTCTGTATTGACGCATTAATAAAATCCCTTTTAGAAGATAAGGAAGGGAAATTATTGCCCTCTAAAAAATATGACAATGATCATTTGAATCGCAAAGTAAATATAAATATTTTGTTTTGTGTTTTTCTTTATTATATAAATAAAAAATTTTATTTTAAAGAGAGGTATCTTTCGTTGGCAAAATACGTCTTATAATGTTAGTGGTCATATTTCGGACCAATGCCAAGAAACAGGTTGTATAACAGTAAAGGATTCAAAAAATTGTGCGTTAAAATCGTCTAAAATAAATTGCCAAACAAAAGTGAGTGCGGTAAGCTTAAATTTAATTAAGTATTTAAATGTTGAGAATAATCTAATTTTCATTTCAGTGTAAATATGATGAGAATGAAATTGATATTTTTCAAGAAAGTTCCTTTAATAGTCAAATTCCTTTAAATCCTAACAACAATCAATCATTAACAATCGCTAAAGACAGTAAACGGAACCGAAATACTAAAATCCTTGATGTGGTGTCATTGGATGGGTATAGAGGAATGGATCCAATCGATCTTCTGGTAAAATATATTGAAACTCCATCTGATTCAAAAAATGTTGAAAATAAAGGTAATTCTAAGAAAAAAACTCTAAATAAGAAAGAAAATGGAGTTAAGAAGGATGTACTGGATACTAAAGAAAATTATAACAAAAATAAATATGTTAAAAAGCAACAAAGTAATGCTAAAGATATAAAAGAAAAAGTGAACATTGAAAGAGATATAAAGGACAAAGAAATTGACTTTGACAAAAATATTATATGCAAAGATAAACTTCTAAATAATAAGACTGAAAAAGGTAAGAAAATTAAAAATTTTGTTAATTTTAATGTTGAAGCAATATTAATGAATCAAATATTCTAGAAATGGATGCAAATGTACACGAAACTGGAGAAATTGCTCTAAAAAAAGACAATAAGAAAAAAGGCAAAAAACAACGAGCGAACACTGATAAACCAAAGAGTAATTCTATTCGTCGTAAATATTAAACGCAGGCGTTTTTTGTTAAATTAACAATCATTCTGTAAAAAAAATTAATAAAAAATTTATAACAATCTTCAGAAACTAACTCTAAGCCAGCTCCCAAGGAACTGATTCTAGCGATTATAACTTTGGGCATTTTTTTTTACCAAAAAAAAATCTTCTATTAAAAATAAATAACATCATAATAGAAATTCCAACGTACCAATACCGTCGTATATACTGAAAACAATTTTGTTACCAGTTTCATCTGTTAATGATTAATATTAATATTAATTGTACCGATACCTACGATAGATGTTTTGTAATATACATATGATGTAACTGGAACTACCCATAAGGCTAAAACATCAAACAATTTATTTTTAAATTGCGAAATGATCATAACAAAATGAGGTTAAATTATTATGAACATTATAGATATTATAATAAACTACAGAGACATTCAGTTTTAATACTAATTATAGTAGTAAGTGGCGATATATCTGCTATTGCTTCAAAAAAAACTTTCGATGTAAATTATCATTATGACATAATAATAAACAATAATAACATAATAACAACAACCAGTACAAGACTATTAAATTACGCAGTACTACAAATCTGTCTGTAGTTGTCAAAATTATTATTAGCGACACGTCATGTAAGAAACTTACAACAAATACCAAAAGTTCATTATAAATAGTTCAACGGTGCTTACGAATATAGGAAGTAAATATAGAAAAGTTTTATTAAAAAATTTATCATCACCTATCTTCTACATTAACGAAAAGCATATAATTTCAATGGAACTGTTATAGTTGCAACCGTGTTCATTACCTAATTAGAATCAACACTAACAAGCCACGCATTTAAATACATACAACTATACTCTGCTCCCCAGGGTCGACGGTGACAGAAAAAATGACTGAAAACAAAACAAACTGGAATCGCATGGTAATGTTTGCTGAAATTTTCACAGGTTGAAAAAAAGAGATTTCGCCAGAAGACAACTGAAGCAACCAGCAAGATGATGGACAAGGTTGATCATCTGAAGCAATAGTGGGGCCTGGACGCAGGTCATACCGATGGAAGTCTTAGATGATTAACAGGGACCGTACTTTGAATACTTATGTAGAACAACATCTGTAGGAATGAGAGCGAGTTGTTTTATCCGTGCGTGTCGGAAACTTACTTTTCGGACGCTGGATTGTGGCCAGTGCATGGGCATTACAATCCTTGTCGCAAAAAAAAAATCACGAGTTGATTGAAAGACGACCCACGACCAGAACGGCTTAAAAGATATGGCACAGTAATTTTGTTACACATCAATTCGCAGTCTCATCCAGCAAAACCAGTATAAAGATACCTCAATTAGACATTCTTCTGCACCCGCTCTATTCCCTGATCTGGCGCTATCTGACTATCATCTCTTCGCATTAATAGGGCACGCGGCCGCAGAGTAGCACTTTAGCAAATTCGAGGAAGTTGGAAGATAGATTGCAAAACTGGTTTTTAAGAGACACAAATTATTTTACTTCAGTCTTGTGAGAAGAATTAATTTGGTGTGCTGACAGTTTAGTTATTGTTTTGTCATAGGTCGATAATTATGATCTTAAAAATGAAGAAAGAAATTCTCGAAAACGAAATTCGAATTAATGAAATAGTTTTAAATTCAATCAATGATATAATTGAAAATTGTTTATAAACATTTGGATTTGGAAGGTTGATATGTTGATCAGATGCTTTAAGAGATAAAGTTTGACAGAGTAATTAAAATTATGTATTATCGAAACTATAATCTATCAATAGTGTGGAGAATAAGCACTTTGGCAGAAGAAACATGGATTTCGCATAGAAGTAATATCCTGCAAGGGGGGGAATTCTATAGTACATTTACAGTAGTTTTAAGCCCAAGCTGCAATGAACCAAAGATGTAGATACTCTTTTGTGGAGCTGGGATCGGTAAGGTAAAATTTATGACGACACAAAACTTGTGGCGATTTGAACACAAAAATGTTAGCATCCTCTTTAACCAAAATTATGAAAGTTTCAGGAACAAGAAGACTGGATACTTTCTTTACAAAAGCCCAATTTGGACTAATATAAGGAGTTTGACTAAAATAAGGAATTTGACTAAAAAGCCTACAAACTGACGACTCAGATGGATATTCTAAATATATTGCTCATAGTAATTATTAACACAAGTTTTAAGTTCAATCCATCCCTAATCTATACCCTAACCCAGGTATATGCATTTCTAATTCCTTTGACGTTACCCGGTACAATATAGGTCTCCACGGGTTGTCACAACAACAACAGATTTTAATGCATCAATTTGAGTAACACGTTGCGTGAAGAACTATATTTTCCTATATCGATAGCTCTTTAACATACACTCAGTGCGGCGCTAGATAAATGTATATTAAAGAATAATTAATTATAGTTGTATGATTTATACTCAAAAATATATCTTATCATCACATACATATTACATATATATATGTGGTATACGTGAAATGTGCAAATTTAACTGATTTGGTAAGCATTTATTTGCAAATAACGCATAAATAACCCATCGTCGAAGACATGCGAAATGGCAAAAAGATTCTTCAAAATATAAAAGGCCAGCATAAATGCCAGCTGCGTCACTAAAATATTCCATGGATAACGGATTTCGAAAATTATTCATCAATTTGCAATGTTAAGCTTTTTTTAACGAGACCGTCCATTTGGTGTGCATTGAGTATGTCCTATGTCCTGTTAGTAAGAGTGCATATATTTTGGGGTACTTACTCTTGAAATGCTTTGGACAGCAAACGAACTCAACGCCGGAAAACAATGAAATCCCACATGGCAATAACATAGCGAAGCTACGCATTTGCATGCCACGTTCCTGACATGCAGCTGCACCGGTTTGGTTCCACCTGATGAACGGCCAACAACGTGATGCATTATGAATGTGATCAAATAAGCAACCCTCTGGCACTAGTAGAGCATCGGATTGGAATGGTCCTTCTGAAAAAAAAAGTGCACAACATGGCAAAATTGCAATGAATGCAGTTTGTTTAATATGAATTGTTTGCTCTACGTGTGTGAGTTTGTGTAAATGTGTGTGTGTAATATAGCTATGGAGTTTAGTACCTGGTACCTTTGCGTGGGCTGTTGAATTAGTTTGGGTGTGGTTATGTTACTTAAATGCACGGGTTACGCATACAAATTTATGTGCTCTTTTTTATATTATGTTTTTAGGGTTTTGGTCTTTATTTCTTTAAATTTTTTTTTTTTGTTTTTTAAACTCACCGAGACAACGGAAAGGTTTAATCCAACGATGTACACCTTTACATTTAGCTGAATTTAATGCACCCTGACGACACCAGCCACCGATTTTTTGATAGTGGGAGGATTCCACAATGTTGGTGATGTCACGATTGGGATAAGCCTGCAATGGTACGGAAAAAATAATATAGAATTTAATTGAATTGAGTTAGTTGCTTTGAATGGTTTTAATTGTTGACAGAGTGAATTGGAAGTGGTGAATTGGCCACGTTGAACTTTTAATTAAAAACTGTTTTCGTTAAATAAACTTGGCTCAGTGGAATTTTGATTCCATTTTGTAGTGGAGTTAAGAATCAACAATTTTAATTGTTTTTTATTTGTTAAAGCTTTTAACTTTTTTTACAAGTGTATATAGATGTATTACTACTCTTGTTTATTTTCTACACTTGTGTCACGGAAATGTAAAAGTCGGGAATAGTAAAATAGATTATTGATAACATATGGATGAATTTATATTTGATTAATTATTTTTATAAAGTAGACGGTCTGCAGACATTTAGATTTATATTGTATTTACTTGTAAAGAATAGTCATAGTCTTTGTGACTATGTGGGAGGATAATGGAGCGGCATTTCTTATCTTCGTATAATATTATAAAATCCTCAAAGAGTTGAGCGGTTGCAGTGCTCCGCTCAACTGGAAATATAAATTCCTACTATGTTAATATTCCCATTAATAATAAGTTCCATAGGCGTTAGAATAATTATTCGTAATTGATTTTCTTTTTAATCTCTTTTGAAAGTGCCTTACTAAGAGTGCTACAGCTAGGGTATTAGAGTGGTTTAATAAACTAGATACACAATTATCTAAATATAAAAATATTTAGAGAATATGTAAGCTAAGGCATAATTTTTTCATGTTCATTTTGGTTTCAGTATTTCTATCTAGTATACAAAATCTTATCTAAATCGCCTAACCGTTTGTTATATCAACCTTCATATGGTTAGTTAACAATACTTTGAAATATACTTAATAATTTACAAAATATAACATTGCAGTTTGACAATGTCTTCATACTACTGTAAAGAGCTATTAAGGCCATGAAAAAACGATTTTCCATTTGAAGGTTAAGTCCTTCAAACCCGGAAGAAATATTACCGCTTCCTTTATTATTACTTAAACAAAAATTTTGTAAATGTTTAAATATTCATAAAAACATTTGTAATTTTAGTTTGTGTACATTGTTTATATCACGATATATAATTAACCAAACTAAGACAACAATTTCACATCAAACGTTACTCGCCTACATATAAAATTAATTTATTGAAATTAATGAATACATTATATTTGACCCTAAAAATATGCTTGGATAATTATTATAATTTTTAAGACATTTGTGCAGAAAATACTTTTGCCTTCATTCGCTACATTTACTACTCCCGTGCTCTTTGCCAATTTCTAACTTTGTATGTGAGCAGAAATGACGTTGCACGTGCCATTTAATCGTATAATTGCCACTTAAGGAATAACAAAACTTAAAATACGCAAATACAGACTGAAACATTGGCTCAAGTATGAATGTACATAAATTCCATGTACGACTATTTGCAGTTTTATTGAATAAACTAAGTTTTCGAAATTAGAATGCTTTTGTTGTTTTAAACTAATTGTGTTGTTGAGCGTAAAATGGTTGAAACGTTGAAAATAAATGAGAAAAATGTATGCCAGAAGAAAAAAATATAAGTTTCTACTGCATAACGCACACGTATTTGAACTACCGAGTCTCCTTTGTTCGCAGAACACAACAGAACAGAACAGAACAGAAATCTATAGATTGTTTGTGTGTCTGTACGAGCTACTGTGTATGTTCAGCTTCGAAGTACAGTATAATGCACACACTTCCGTTTATAAATTTTATATAATCACATCAGTTAACTTAGCATATTTAATTGAGTTTACTTGTTAGTGTCCTTTAATCTATTTTAATATATCAACTGGTTGGATACATACACTTTGAACATACTACCAACATACATACGAGTATAAAAACGTACCCAAAGCATTAAGTCATTGCTGAGCTTGTACTTATATCCGTTGCTTATACTAGCGTTGATGTTTACAATAACAATAATAATAAAGTTTTGCACAGTTAAAGGGACACATTGAGATATAATCGACAGCAGCAGCAGCAGCAGCATTAAAATTTATTTAATAACATCATGCAGTACAGCTTAATTAATTAAAGAAGAGATTCACTGAATTGTTATAAAATTATTTGCACAAAATTATAACGTGCACTAACATATATGCAGCTATATATAAGTATATATATATTTACAAACGTATATATGTATATATATATATAAACATTGAGGAGTACATATTCCTCATTACGCTGTAATGAACATGTCTATATATGAACGGTTGTGTATGTTTACAAATTCATTCAGACGGAATAATAAATAAAGCCTAAAAGTATGCTACATGTCAAGTTGTTAGAATTGCAACAACAGCAGCAAATAAATTGTGCTTGTACCCGTCGTATCTATTGTGAATGCAATTTTCTATTCCAGGTCCTTAAAAACTTAACATATGAAATACATTTTGGTCGAGGCATTCATTGTAAAATTCCTCGTGTTTATTATTTTTACTATTGATATTTAATGATTTACATACATAAGTACACATGAATCATTTAAAATATATTTAAAGTGTGAGATACAAAGGAATTTATATGTCTTCATTGTAATTGCTATGTAGGATAATTAAAGTATTTATTATTACATACCTACTCTTGGTATGTTAAGGCAAATTAGTCAATTTATAATCAAGTGTGCCATATATTAAGAACAATCATTTACGCATAAAGGAATTAATTTGCAGGATTTCGTTAAGCTTTGACTGTTATTTGTGCTGGCTTTAGATACATTCCTTTGATGTGCATTAATGTTTCGATTGCTTGTTAACATTTTACGATTGATGTAAACCAAAGGGAGTAAGGTCATAAATTGTGTTGTAAATTAATTAATTACAAAGTTGTTGAAAAGAATTGCTACGATTTAGCATTGATTAAGTCTATTATGTGGTTTATACATGACTGCTTGTCTTATTATTGTGTTTTTTTGCAAAATGATGCATACTTAGCTGAAACACTTATATGCCTTTGATATCACATATAAGAAAATAGAGAACATATCAATGTATTATACCAGAAACGATAAATTTTAATTATTGAAATATTTGCACTGTTGTAAAGAAGATATTCCATTTATACTTTATGGTTAGAAAAGAGTGCTCGTTTTCTAGAATCATTAACAGCAGGACGAAGCGAATCACTGCTAGTTAACTAATAGAATTAAACAAATTAAATATTGTCTAAGGCATTTGAAGGCTAATGAAGTTTGAACAAGAATTAAGTTGGAAGATTTTATAAACTTACGATTAGATAAGGCAACATTCAATCAGTTTATAAGATGACTATTAAAATGTAAGTTTGTTTGTATATGCATACAGATTTATTTAAATGGATGTGAATTTGTGTAGTAGAATTATAGACACAATTCACACCATAGTCTGGTTGTTTGATGTGATACATTCACCCCAAAGCTTCACTAACATTTTAATGCTTTTTTACAGAACGATTTACACTTAGTAGGCGTTAAAGCAGGCTTTAGGTTAGGCAATTATTTGCTTACTTAAATGATCATAATAATCCTTTACCAGAATTTGGCCTAACGCAACACTTCTTTCTCTCTCTAGCTTTTTCTAGTCTCGTACATCAAGTGTGGTAACAGTATCATCAACTTGAACAAGCCACCGAAGACACGGTCCACATTTAAGTCGTCTTTCTCCTATTTTTGCTCATCATAATCTATTCTTATGACATGACTAAGTCACAGAGTTACTCAAAGTTATTACGAGTAGCTTGTGGAACACATCCATTTATTATAAAAATCACGCCACTGAAAGACTGAAAGCATATCATTGATTTCGCAGCACTTGCAATATTTTTGCGTATATTCTTGAATTTCTTTTTGCTAAACATAATTCTTGATTAAAATAACCCAACATTTTTATTATTATTTATTCACTTTTAATTATTTTAATAATTATAATTATAATTTTAATTATTTTTCATTATGCACAAATTTTCTAAATTCAAATTTAAATAAACATATATTGAACTTGTCAAAATTGAATCGATTATTGCATATATTCAATAGCTGACACTGTAGTATTTGTAGGCAGCATTTGAAAATTTACTCAAATCAATCCTGTGAAGTTTATAGTTAAACACGTTCTTGAACGTGTTCATGAATCTTTTCACACCAACAATTGTATGAGTTTAAACATGTTTAATAATTGGTTTAAGCACTTAAACTTGTTTTAAGCCGATTTAACATGTCTGTTAGAAAAGACTATAAATTTTGGTTTTGACTTCTAGCACCAAAATTCGTAATGTAAACATGGTATAAGAAAATGAAAGTATACTACTTTATTCTCAATACTTTTTCCACTACTTTCGCTACTTTCTTCTATATCACTGTTATTTTTAATGATATGTCTACAGTAAATACGGAGGCAAACACGTACATACACAAGTTTAAATTATGACTACTTGGGTTTGTGTTGATACGATTTAAGATAAGGGCAACTCTTTACTAATATATATAAAACAAATTTAAAAAGTAAAAAAAATAAAAGCAACTGTATTTGCTTAGTTTTTTAAACTGTTGAATTGAAACTGCTTAAACCCAAGAACAAAAATTTTTATCGGCATTGATACGAAATACAAAAATGTCTTTATCATAGAGACCATCTAGAAATGTAACCTATTTTCATAACCCAACTGATATTTTTTTTTTGTTCTGCTGAACAATAGAAAATACCATACGCAGTAGCCGCAGCAAGTATCAATAACAGCGCCTGCAGCATTAACAGCAGCATTAACAGCAGCATCAACAGCAGATCAGCAGCAACTGTAAACAACAAAGCCAGCACTGCACAAAGCAACGATAGCATTTAATGCTTTTGTCATAATGTGGAGCATTTTTCTACTATGTTTATGTGTTTATGTTTGTAATGGGATGTATGTATGTGCAAGTATGTGTGCATTTCACTTTATAATATTATATTTGTTTATATACATAAATATATATG